TAAAAAACAATAACTACTTTGTGTTATCTTTTGGTAATAACCAATACTATTGTAGTTATGATTTTGCACTAATATTAAACTCACAATTATCTCACGGAAGTAACTGCACGCCAACTATTAATGCTGCCTGAGTCTAGTATATTGTACATCGTGACTAAACATGGATCTCTCCCACTGCAGTCGTACCTTAAATTGATTAAAAAGCAGCAGAAGGAGCTCAACACTCTAAAGAAGAAACACTCAAAGGTGGGTGACTGTTTTACTGCAGACCTGTCTGCTAATAATGCAAAGGAGCTGCTGTTTATTCCTGACAGTTATTGATGCTCAGAGGGACAGAAACGGTGGAAGGGGAGGCGGCTCTACCTTTCATCTTCCACTGACCACTGACTGCACGCACACAAACACACACACAGAGTCCGTTCATAATGTACATAGGGTGCTTCTGAGTATGCTAATGTGTCGTATTGCTTCTAGTGTCTCCTGGCTGCACAAAGCAAGTCTGTATAAGAGAGATGCAGGAAATTATACAACTGTTTCTTTATTGCAAGCTTTTCCTTTTCCCTTCCTCTCAGCGATGGATTTGTGGAGATTTGAATTATATCCCAGGAGTAAAGAAGGCACACAAGTTAAAATACTGAGACGTGTCTATAGATCCAGACACTGTTTTTGTCTGGATCTATAGACACTCTATAGTTTTTGTCCTGTTTTTCTTCAAACAGCGATCAGCACAGTTTATATTGGCTGCTGGCTCAGTCATACATGCAGATTAATTATCACAGAATTTAGTCCTGTTGCTTAACATATGTATATCAGTACCTGCAGACCCATCTGTTGGCTGAAAAAAGATAGCTGCTGGTTCATTATTCAGGGGAAGCAACAAAGTCAACATATGAGCGTATTACAAACAATAATCGTTGTTGTTGTTGCTGCTGCCTGTTGTGCTGATTCCAAATTGGTTTCAATATAGGTTAAAACTGCATTTGCATGGCATAAGTAAATACTTTTATATAATAAATAATAATTATAAATAATAAACGTGTCTCCCTTTTCTGCACTAGGATCAAAATACAATGCAGAAAACCCACTGCACTCAGGTGGACAAGATAGTGTCTCTGCATGATAAGGAGAAGGTAACTCTGGAGAAGCTACTAGAGAAAGCCATCAAGAAACGAGGGTAAGTGGAGACAAAAGCAAACACACACACAAACACAAACTCATTAGTCTCATCTTTGTGTTTTGTCCTTTAGTGTCTCCCTTGTGAAGTCAGTCTCGTCTCTATGTTTGTTTATCTTTTTGTCTCTGTCAAATTCTGAGGTTTGGGTCTGTGTCTTGGTGTTAGTTCCAGTTTTATTTTGATAGTCTTGTGTGCTTCATGTTGAGTTTTAAGTTACCTGTCTAGTTTTCCTGATTTGTTGCAGCTATGTTCCCTTGTGTTTCCCATCTCCCTAACTGCCTC